TTACACAGTGATACTCAGAAAGCCTGAACTTTTACCTGGTACAGCCTATTACTTCATAAATGCTTTAACAACTGGCACAAAGCCCAGTTTTACTTACTTCTATTTCAGGTCCACCAACCCAACGAACAGCAGGCAGCTCATTCTGGAGCAGCAAGTGATTTGCCTCATCATCAAAACCCCACTGGCAAATGGCAAGGTTCGCACCAGTGTCTTTTATCTAAAAGCAACACAAATCATCAACCTTCACTCTTCATGGTTTTAATTCTCCCAACTTTCTCAAAAGACAATTCTCAAGAATAATCCTCTGGCACACACAGATCAAAATATATTTTTAACCAAGCTGGTATCTCTTTCTTACATTACATTATCTTTGATTCACAGCATTACAACTGCTTGTATGTTGCTTCCCACCATGATTAGCAGCTCATTTACAGGAACAAATCAATGCACTATGCTGTTTTTTTCCTAAAGGTTATGAAAGACAAAGAAATCAGAAACAATCCCAAAGGCTACCTGCTTCACCATCTCTTCAAACTTCTCTTTTTCATATTTCTGCAGTGCCTTGTAATCATCCACAGATGTGACATCAAGCTTATGTTTGGTTTTAGGCTTAGGTGGTTCAAATGGACAAGTAAGGATTGCAATTTTAGCATCTTTTAGCTCCTGGGCAAATTAAAAAAAAAATTTTTTTTTACTTCATTAACATCTCTTTCTTGTATTTGCAAAACATACACATGTATCTCTATAAACACAAACATATGAACAAATGTGAAGATCATTTGACTTATTCTAAAATTAACTAAGTATAACTAAATAATTCTGTCAATAGTCTCAATAAACCACTTAGAACAAATTCCATAGCTCCAAGACACTGTTTAAGCCCTTAACAATCTTTACCAGTCATGCCTTTTTATGGTTTAATGTTTAAAAAACAAAAGAAAAATTCAGTTAAACCATCCCTATCCACTGTGACCACTGAGAACACTACTGGTCTTTGTAACAACTTTTCAACTATTACACGACTGTTATTTTCCACTAGTCTTCCTTTCTACAGGATAAACACTGTTACCTGCTAGGTAAGTATTTTAGAAATGTAGAAGTTTTCTTGAAGTACACTGCCCAAAGACTTGGAGAACTTACCTACACCAAACATAAAACAAGGACAGTTTCTGGGATGTTCCAAACAGGACAACATGGCAGTTCACAAAGATTAAGAATCTTAACACTGCATTGCACTAAGCATATTAAGCATATCACACACCAGCAATAATTATTTCTATATAACACAGAATCCTGCATCTGTCCTCACTTAGCAGTACAGTAATTCCTCTCTTCCACCACACCTTCTCAATATTGTTGTAAATTCTAACTTGATCTCTTCCAATATGAAGAATTTCATGCTCCTTGCCCCTTCCTCTGCTGATATATGGTGAAAAGCCAAGACTGTGTAAACACTTAATAAATGCTAGGGTGACATTTGAGGTAGGCTAGACACTCAAATTTATTTAAGTCATTACACACAACAGCCACACACAATGACAGCACTTACTTTAGGCATCTGTGGATGACTGAAATCTTTATCCACAATCACTCCTTTAACCAACTGTGTATCTTCCAGTCTACCACCCACTTTGCCTTGCACTTTGATCAGCTCAAAATCAACATCTTTACGTTCCATGTCTGCTACTGTCAGTACAGCATTCACCGCAATCTCTGCCATTTGCCTGTGACAGCGGTTCACTCTAGGTTTGAAGAAAATACAGTCATGTTGTACTCCATTTCCACCATTTGGAAGAAAAAGGTGATTCCATCAATAGATGTTAAACAGCAAGAAGTACCACTACAGCAATCAACTTCTGCACACAATATTAAAAGAGGGGCTCCTGCTTGTTTGTTCACAGAAACAGAGGGTGCTGGCTATGTCAGAAAACCGAACACACAGCGTGGTTGGTGTGAGGAACCTTTGCCAATGGAGTCTCAATAGAGATTTGGAAAAAGTCAGGAGAACTAAATGACTAAAAAACATTCAAGAAACAGAAACCATGTGTAAAACAACTCTGCAAGGGAAGCCCTTCCAGTGCCTAAATTTATGAACTACACAGGAACCCATAAAGGAAAATGAACTTTTGGAACCATCTTAAGTGAATTTTTTTTAGTGGAAAAAAACCCCTAAGATGACATGTTGTTATTTTTAACAGATTCAGATTACTTTTGGAACCCGCTATGATGCAGAAACCTGGAACTAACAGGTTAGAATGAAAATGATGCTGCAGCTATTTAATTTCATGGAAATGACCCTTTGGAGATGAAGGAGTCACAATTTCTTATCCGGGGACAGGAGTCCATGGAGGAATTAGCTAAACCAAAACACAGAAGAGCCTTCAGCAGCACTCCAATAACACAAACACCAGGATTTCTCCTTTCCATGCAGAGGGTTTTCAATGGAAGGGTAAATATTCATTCAATATTCAGGTTTTGTGACTTACACTTTAGAGCCCAGAGTTGTCTTTGCTGTCTGGATCAGAGGCTCAATGTTCTGTGGATCAACTGGGAAGCTGTCACTGATTTTGTCTAGATGCTCAATAGCAATGCGTGCTGCCTGCTCATAACCATCTGCTATTCTGATGGGGTGAATGCCTCGGTCTAGCAACTGCTCAGCCTGTTCCAGTAATGCCCCAGCCAGAACTATAAAAAAAAAAAAAAAAAAGTTTTATTCTTGATTGGAGCATAATTTTAAGTATATTAACAACCGATTAAAAACCATATTTTCTGTTTTTTCTGCAGTATTTTAAGAGTTCAAGGTTTCCTAAATAACAAAAAAACCACAAAAACCTCTACTTGCTCTGCTTAGCAAGAGAACCACATTATGTTAAGACCAAAATGAAGCACAGGCATCAAGGCAAGACAAGGAGACTACATAAGAAAAATATGCAAAACAATTCTTTGAAAGTATCAAAGGGGCTCTCAGCACTACCTTAAAATGGAACCAGACTTCAAAAAAATACAAAAGATTCTTCCCAATTAGAAGACTTCTCATACAAGAACTGACAGGAATACTGCAACAATAAATACTCCAAAGAAGTGCTACAGAAAAGCTACTGCTATTTCTCACAATTTTTTAAAATAGCTGAAGCAACTTGATTTTAAACTTGAAAAGGGAAGCTAAATTTAAAACGCTCTCTTACCAACAACTCCAGTAGTTCCATCCCCAATCTCATCATCTTGAGATTTAGCCAGCTCCACCATAAGTTTGGCTATCTGGTGATCCACATCCATCATATTCAGGATTGTAGCACCATCATTTGTCACAGTAACCTCACCATCCTTGTCCACCATCATTTTATCCAAGCCTAAAAAACATATGTTCAAAGGATTAAGGAAAATTTTGAAAATTCCCCCACAACAATTATTAAAAGAGAAATACTAAAAGTTTTTCATTGTTACCATTGGGCCCAAGGGACGTTCTCAGAGTACTTGCTACAGCCTTTGCTGCCATTATGTGAGACTGTAAAACACAGCATAACAAAGACAGAAGTTAAATCATTACCACGCATTCCAGGAAAACACAGCGAGTAGTGCAAATGTTGTAATTTAACTGACAACAACTATTGCTTGTATTGCTTGTGCTGGCTCTGCTAAAGCACGCAAAAGCAGAGCACCCAAATGACAGCCCTAACGCTCAAAGCAGGGAGCAACAGAGGCCGGCAACGCTAAAAAGAGAAGGCAGTGCAATTTTACCCATCATAGAATCATCACAGAATGGTTTTGCTTGGAAGGGACTTTGAAGACCATCCAGGTCCCACCGCCTGTCAGAGGCAGAACACCTTCCACTAGACCAGATTGCTCAGTGCCCCACACAACCTTCCCCTGAACACTTCCAGGAATGGGGCATCCACCACCTCTCTCTTCCAGTGTCCACTCCCTTCTTCCGTCGGGATTTAGACCACCCGCACTCAGCCCCAGCCTTTCTTCGACAGCCGAGCTTCAGGAGGCGGTCTAAGGGAGGGGGCGTGGGGGGCTGGGCAGGAGCACGGGAGGGCCGCGGTGCCCCACGGGGTGCCGGCCCCACGGCCCGCAGCTCGGGGGCGGACCCACGCCGTGCCGCGGGTCCCCAGCCCCGGGGCGATGCTTTCTCTCTTCCTCCACCCCTCCCCCGCTTACGGGCCCAGTCCAGGCTCCATCCGCCCTGCGCCTCGGGCGGGGCTGGCGCCGAGCGCGGCAGCGCCTCGCCCCAGGGGCTCCATCCTCCCGCTGCTCGCAGCAGCACAGCACGGCACGGTACGGTACGGCACGGTACGGTACGGTACGGTACGGCACGGTACGGTACGGTACGGCACGGCACGGCATGGTACGGTACACCACAGCATGGCATGGCGCGGCGCGGCGCGGCGCGGCCTAACCAGCGCGGGCCCGCGGGCGGCCCCGGCAGCCGCCCCGCTCGCTCACCTTGAGCGCCTCCAAGCCCATGAGGCGCGTCTTGCGCTCTTGGTCCTTCAGGATGAGGAAGGGCCGCCCATACTCGTCAAACGCCAGAGTCCCCATGGCCGACATGGCTGCTCCGCCAGCTCCGACCGCCGCCGCCCGCGCGCGCGCACTTCCCAGGAGCCGCCGCGCCCGCCGCGCGCCGCCCCGCGCCTGCGCGAACGCTGCGCCTCGCCGAATGCCGCGGGCGGGAGCTTTGGGGCGCCGCCAGCGGAGCCTTCTGGAAGCCGCCGGCGCCGGGGGAGGAGCGCGGCTCGCGGGCGGGGAGGGAAGGGGGGAGGATGTGCCGAGTCGGGCGGAGTACGGGCGCCGGGTGACGTGAGGGCGGAGGAGGGAAGGCAGACGGACGGAAGGCAGACGGACGGTGGAAAAGCGTGCGCGGCGCTTCTCTCCGGGGTGCCTTCGGAAAGGTTTCGGCCCCGCACCCCTTCGCAGTGAAGTGGTGCTGCCCTTCCCGGTAGCGGTGCGGGCCGGGCGTGAGGCTGGGGTGTTCGCTGTCGAGGCGGGGTGTGGCTGTGTCCTAGGGAAGCGTTGCCCCGCACGGGAGGAGCAGTGACTCCGGCGCTGTCCCGGCGGCAGGACGGTCCCTGCCTGCCCGCCCTGGAGCTGTCCGGGGCGATCCCTGCCTGCCCGCCCGCCTGTGGGGGCCCGGCGTTTAAATGGGAACCGCGTTCCTGCCCTCTCGTGCCTCAGCTTTTCAGACGCTGTAGCGTTTCCTTGGGGTTGGCTGAAGTGTAGGGTGGTTTTTTCCATCTCTTTACGCGGTAGCTCTTTGCTACAAGACGCTGATTTGTCTGAAATGAGCGAACACGCTGTCTGTCCGTCCGCAGGAGGGATGTCCCGGGCGCTGGCGAAGGAGGTCCCGCAGGAGGAGGGCGAGGGCGGCTCCCGCAGGAGCAGCTGGGGGCTGCTGGCCGCGGCCGGTCTGGGAGGGACCCTGGTGGCCCTCTATGCTGTAGCCACCCCCTTCGTGACCCCGGCCCTGAGGAAGGTGTGCCTGCCCTTCGTTCCTGCCACCGCCGCTCAGATCCAGAACGTGCTGAAGATGTTGGAAAACAGAAGTGGCTCCCTAGTTGACATTGGTAGCGGAGATGGCCGTATTGTAAGTTATGGATGTTGCCTCTTAAAAAAATGCCGAAGTGCTGGAGCTGCGTTTTCTCACACTTAAAAATGTCTTGTCTTTGGCAGCCACTGGTTGTCTCTGAGTCTCACGGAAAGTATCAAATCTGAGAAAGGTTTACATTCAGTTTTGATGAGTAATAAATAGTTTTGCTGCAGTCTTACCTGTAGCTTGACAAAGGTAGTGGACAAAATGTCATCGTGTCGACTGGAGGGAATCACAGTGCATTCATTTGACAAGAAGCTATCAGAGTCTTGGTGCTGATTGACAAAGAGCTGTGATTCCACAAAGGTGTGTAGCTGCAGCAAATGAAGCTGTGAGATGTTTAATGTATAAAGGTGATAGAAGTGTAAAAAGAAATGGGCAATGAGCGATGGATTATAAAAATAAAAATCCTGATATCGTTAGAACTGTAGTCTTCAAACCTTTGTGGACTGCTGGCTTCCCCACTTCCAAATCCATGTGGTGAAACTAGAATAAACACCAAGAGAAATTGTGAGAATCATGAAAGAAAAAGTGATTCTGCGTTTCCAGGGTATTGCTTGAGCCCCAGTTTGTGAAATATGATGAGGATATACTGGCAAATTGTGTTTTGGTTTTTCTTTTGTTGCTATGACATTTTGTGTAATTTGTAACTAACTTGTGTCATGTGTGTCATTTGCTGGACATTTTGTTTTTTTGTAACTATCTGCTTCAAGTCAGATTTGCCAACAGGGTGGTAGTTTTTGATGCAAACACATGAGTTCTTGAATGCTACCTTTGTCCATGTTTTATGTGAATGAGTCAACTGTTTGTCCACCTAAGAAAAAAATTGATTTGGAACCCCATGTCTGTGAAGATTGCTTGAATTGTGCCTGGGTATGAAAAAGACCAAAAAACTTAGGCATGAGATAACTGAAGTTTCTGATGCCTTTCTGGCTGCTGACTCTCATCAGAGGTATTTAATTTTAATAGGCACTGTGTCATTGATTCTGATATGTAGGTGTCCAAATGGAAACTGAAGACTATTTGGAAAGCCAGGTGAATGCTTGGTGCTTCCTTGATGCATCTTTCCTGACAAAGCCTGTTCAAATGCTTTTAATTATTTAGCACTTACTCAGGTGGATAAATATGAAGATATTTACCACACTTCCAAGTCTGGTAAAAATGTCAGATTCTTTTGGTGAATTTTCAAGTGCTCTGTGTGTGATGGAAGATTAATTATTTTGACAGTGTGAAATACATGGTCTAGGTAAAGCTGTTTGAGAAGTTCTGTTAAGAAATGTGTGCTTTCTGAATTCACCTTGCTTGTTTTGTAATTGATAGTTCATCAGGTGATTGCTGATTAGAAGTTTGCTCTAGTCTTTTAAATTATGTCTTAAACCTTTATTCTAGAAATCAGTGCATTTTTTGATTTTTTTTTCAGTGTAGATTAAGATTGCTTTCACACTCTTTCTATTAGTATGTCATTTTAGCTCTGATGGAGGAGCTGCTCAAGTGCCTATCCCTCACTGCTTTTCAAATAAGTGGTCTAATTTTGAGTGTTTTTGCTTGTGAGTTTCACTGTTCTCTCTGTGATCAATGTTGGTTCTCTCTAATTCCAAGACACTGTAATGAATGTGTTAAATTAAACTTTTATATGGATCATAGATGTATTGCAAGCTCACAGCTTTGCTCTGTGAATATTAGTTTTCATTTTGTTTGCCTAACTATATTTCAGTTGGACTAGTAATAATAGCAAAAAGTAGTTTTGAGTTTTTGTTCACTATACAGCTGATGTGTTGGGCATTAAACCCAGGGTGACTTAGGAAAGTGCTTTCCTTTGATTTATATTTTAAATGAAACTCTGAGCTTCTCTTTAGGTGAATTGATTTTTATGTTTCAAAATGAAGATTTATTTTCTTCCTTGAAGGTGATAGCAGCTGCAAAAAAGGGATTCCAGGCTGTTGGTTATGAATTGAATCCCTGGCTAGTCTGGTACTCCAGATATCGTGCCTGGAGAGATGGAGTACATCAGAACACCAAATTTCATATTTCAGACTTATGGAAGGTGGGTGGTGAATTATATAAGAATGGATCTGGGATGATTGAGAGATTTATAAGTTTGGAAATACTTTCCTGAAAAAGCTGAAATGCTGTCTGACTTCAAGATGCTGTACTGGACTTTGAGCAAAGTACTTGTGCTGGGAATCTGGTTTCTTTGGGCTCAGTATGCTGTTCTGCTGCTTTTGTGCTTTATTCAAGTGCTTCCTTTATCAGTAGCAGTTCCTTGAGCAATCCTGCACCTGATGAATTATGTGGGAGGGGTTTTTTTTGGGCTGTGGAGGTTTGTGTTCAGAGAGAAACATAAGAAAACTTCATGGCACTGAGTGGAAGAACTTTATCATTACAATGCCTAGGAAATTTTTATAGCCAGCTGACATTTAAAAGAAGAAGGGGCAAACTTCAAGCATACATGATTTTATCATATACAGGAGTTGTGAAAATAACCCTTTTGTTATTAGTAAAGTCATGTAGGTATTTTCTAAATGAATGCTTTCTGTGCTTCTAGAATTGCTATTCCATATTCTTGGCCAGACAGTAGAAGTTTTTTGCTGTTTGGCAGTATAAAGTTTTCTTTATGTGGAAATTCTTGTGATGAAAAGTTGGTAAGGGATCTCCTTACATATTTTTGATCTAAATCCCTGTTGAAAGAAGTGCAGCTAGAGGAATTAGGAGAAAAGGATGATGAAAATTTCTCTAAGTGCCATTTTCAATAAGTTTTGTTCTCAATTTTTATTTTAGGTTTCTTTTTCCCATTATAGAAATGTTGTTGTTTTTGGAGTACCTCAAATGGTAAGCTTGCTATTTTTTTTTTCTTTATTACTGTATTTTATTTATTATACTGTTAAATTATTGTTACAATGTTTATTTATTTTAATGCCAAGGCATTCAGTGTTAATACATTAATCTGCAAAATGAATCAAGCTACAGATAGTCAAAGGTAGTCAGTAATAATTGTAGAATATTAAGGGTTGGAAGGGACCTTAAACATCAAGTCCCAACCCCCCTGTACATGGGATACCTCCCACTAGACCAGGTTGCTCAAGGCCTTATCCAGCCTGGCTTTGAGCGCTGCCAGGGTTGGGACATCCAGTTCCTGGGCAACCTGTTCCAGTGTCTTACCACTCTCACAGTAAAGAATTTCTTCCTAATGTTTAACCTAAATTTCCCCTTTCAGTTTTTTTTTTTCCATTCTCCATTGTCCTATCCTGATGAAGCAACCCTCTCCAGCTTCATCAGGAGATTTCTCCCTGTAGGCTCCCTTCTGACACTGGAAGGTTGCTATGAGGTCTGCATGCAACCTTCTCTTCTCTAGTTCCAGCTCCTCTGCCATGAGCAGGGACACTTGACTAGACCAGGTTCCTCAGAGCTCCATCCAACCTTATTTGAACAATTCCATGTCTGGGGCATCCACAGCTTCTCTGGGCAACCTGTTCTATTACCTCACCACCCTCATGTGAAAAATTTCTTCCTAATACCAATCAAAACCTACTCTCCTTCAGTCTGAATCTCTTCCCCCTTGTCCGTTACTTCCTGTGCCTGTAGATGGTCCCTCTCCATCTTGTAGGCTCCCTTCAGGTACTGGGAGGTTGCAGTTAGGTTCCCCTGAAGCCGTCTCTTTTCCAGGCTGAACAAACCCAATCCTGTCATCCTGTGCTTCCGTATTGCTTGTTCCTTTGCTAAGGCAGGTGTGAGATGAAATAAGAGAAGAACTTTATGTGATGCCGCACCATACAGCATACACTGAAAACATTTCTGCAGCAGTAACGGGAAATGTAATAAATCTTCCTATTATATGCTTGTTTGTTTTTTCAACGGCACCAGAAGTAAATCTCTACTTCAGATTCCAATTGTAACCCGTATTGGAAACTGAAGTGCGTATGGGTGGGATTTAGTGAGCACCGGGATGTTCCTCATGCTGTCAGCCCTGCGTGCTCTCTTGCTTGAGTTCCAGCAGGGGGCACTGGAAACGTTTGGATTTGCGGTCAGGAGTTCTGCCGTTGCTGTCTCAGTAAACTAAGAATAAACAAATGCCCTGGGAAAATGTGAGTAAACTCAGCAGAAATACTGAAATAACTTTTGAATGTAATAAAGTGGCACACATTAGCTGTGATAGAAAGGGTAGCTATAGGGTTCAGGATAATTTTTGTAGATCCAGTAAATACTAGGTCAAATTCAGCAAAGTACTGTCATAAATGCAACTGATGCAAACATATGAACCTCTATGTTTTCTAAGTATTCATTTACTGATGATTCCCTTTGAGTTTAATTCAGAAGTTGTTAATGCCCAGCCTCCTGAATGACTAAATTAATTTTCTAGAAACCTTAATGCATTTTTTCTTTTTTACTTAGGAACAATAGATCTCTTTAGCTTTTTTAATAATGCTGGCCTGATTTGATGCTTTCACGCAGTGTTTTTGTTAGCGTTCAGGAACATACATAATCACAGGACATGATTATATGCAGGTGCTTTTATTAAGAGCTCTGGGAATCAGGGGTACAAACCCAAATCTGACTCCGACATGGCTTTCGAGCTGAACGTATTTTATATTCTATCATTACATAACTCACATATTAATTTTTAAACTTATATTGTTCTATTGTATACATTGACATGAATTTCTCGTGATCTTTCTTAGGTCACTGACCACAGTTTCTCGTGATTATTCTTATGATTAAACAGTAATTATATTTAATTACTAAACAATCATCACATCTAACAATTATATCAATTATCATGCACTAGCTACACAGTGCAGTTCTAGCAAATACGAGTTCTCCATGTGCTTAGGGTTTTTATTTTTCCAGGGCCTACTAAGCTTATTTTTCCTTTTAACCCTTAATCTCCATGATTTTACTGTCCCTTTTACCCTTTTACTGTCATTTTTATATTTCTATCTGAGATTAGCTTTAAAAACCTGAATTTATTAATCTTCAGGGAAGACTAAGACCTCTCATTCTTGAAAGCATCTGGGGGGAAGGTGTGTTTGTTTCTGAGTTATTGCAGAGAGAGACTTACTTGTTCAGGGGAGGGTGATGGAATTCTTGACAGGTGTTCATGTTTGCAGCTCTTGAGTATTTTAACTGATTATATACTGTACAAAAGGTTTACTAAACTATGTATCTATGTTGACACATTAAAAATTTCCCCCAAACCCTGGCTTAACATAAAATACAGTATGATTGTAACACCTAATGCAACTGATATATTTAGCTTAAAAACTAGTTTGACTGGTTCAAGGATAGGATTCTTTTTGGCTAAACTTGGCTGAACTATTAATGATGTTTTCCAATTTGTGCTAATTTGTCACAAATTTTCATAATCCATGTCTATATTTAATTCATAATAATTTAATTCATAATCCAATTTTCATAATCATAGTCCATGCCTATATTTTCTGTAACAAATTTTTTTCTGGTGCCTCAACTCAGTTTTAGACAGCAAAGTGGGCTTATTTTTCTAGTTTAAAGTGCTAGTAGGCTTATTTTTCTAGCTGTTTAAGGCAGCAAAGGTGTTTAAAAGCATTTGCAGTGCGGATGAAACCAGAGCCTTAAAAATATTTGGAGGTTACTCTTTGGTATATTAGATCTATGACTTTAATTTTCCTAAAATATTCAATTGTTAGCTTAAATGTAGCTATAATAAGATACCACATCAAAGGCTCACCCTGCATGTGATAGTGGAAGCTCTTCGCAGCCTTTGGTAATACCTTTTCTTTAGTCAGTCTTATTTTCTAATAATGTTCTTTTGGGTTTTGTTTCTTTTATATTTTTTGTGAAATTTTATGTATTTTTGTCTTTGTGACTTAAATTCAGCTATATTTGCAAATAGCTACTGCCCTTTAATTTTTTTTTAATATTTAAACATTACATCATGATAACCAACGTAAATTATATTTTACATGTAACATAAGTAGCCTGTAGAATTTGCTGTTAAAATTACTTATTCAGATAGATACAATATATAAGAATCAAAGGAACTTCAAATGGATGTGCACTGCTGATCTGCTTAAACACACCATCAAACTTTTCCAAAGGGCAAAAGTGGCTAAATCTGCTAGGTTTCTTTTTTTTTCCCTAGAACATAATCACTATTTGGGATGGAAAAGAAATTTCTTTTAAGTCTACATGTGTTAATTTATTTCTCACTTAATTCATGGCAGAATTTGCAAAGTACTTATTAGAAAAAGAGCTTCAGACTGGTCAGGGTGTTGCTCTGTTCTAGAAAAGTAGTGATATTTCCCCTGATTTTCATATCCTGTCAGTTTTTGTGAATAGAGGAAAGCTGGACTGCAGGTATTCAACCAAGGACAGTTGGTATGTGACACGGTTCCCCTCAGCATCCTGCTCTCTAGAGTGGGGAGAGATGGATTTGGTGGATGGACTGTTCAGTGGATAAGGAGTTGTCTGGATAGCTGCATTCAGAGAGTAATGGTCAATATATCAGTGTCCAGATGAAGATCAGTTACAATTGGTGTCCTTCAGGAGTCTGTATTAAAGCAGTCCTGCTTAATATCAATGGCATAAAGCACTGAGATTGAGTGCACTCTCAGAAAAGTTTGCAGATGACACTGAGCTGAGTGGTGCAGTTGACGTGCCTGAAGGACAAGATGCCATCCACAGGGACCTGGACAAGAAGTGGGCCCATGGGAATATTACGAGGTTTGACAAGACCAAGTTCAAGGTGTTGCACCTGGGTCAGGGTAACTCTAAGTACCAACACAGGCTGGGGAATGAACAGATCAGAGCAGCCCTGCCCAGAAGGACTTGGGGATGCTGGTGCATGAGAGGCTGGACATGACCCAGCCATGCGCACTCCCAGCCCGGAATGCCAAACGTGTCCTGGGCTGCATCCAAGGCAGCGTGGCCAGCAGGGTGAGGGAGGGGATTCTGCCACCTCTACTCTGCTCTGGTGGGATCCCACTTGGAGTGCTGCATCCAGCTCTGGGCACCCCAGCAGGAGAGGGATGCGGACCTGTTGGAGTGGGTTCAGAGGAGCTCCTTTGTTATGAAGGTAGGCTGAGAGAATTGGGGTTATTCAGCCTGGAGAAGACTTGACTCAGGGGAGACCTTATTGTGGCCTTTTAGTACTTGAAGGGGGCTTGTAAACAAGATAGAGACATCTTGTTTCCAGTAGGGCCTGTAGGGATAGGATAAGGGGTAATAGCTTTAAACTAAAAGAGGGCAGATTCATATTAGATATAAGTAAGAAAAGTTTTATGAATAGGATGGTGAAACACTGGAACGGGTTGCTAAGAGAGGCAGTAGATGGGAACTGGATGGGGCTCTGAGCAACCTGATCTAGTTAAAGATGTCCCAGCCCATGGCAGAGGTGTTCAACTTGGCTACCTTTAAAAGTCCCTTGCAATCCAAATCATTCCATGACTCTACATTCTCTTTCATGGAATGTTGCTGAAGGGATTCACATGCCAATGTTAATGGAGTGAGGATTCGACTGAGCTCATTTTCAGTATTACTTAACATAACAGTATTTTACCATAGACTGACAGCAGAATGCTTGCTTTGAGTTGTTGTCTGTGTGATGTTTTGAGTGTCCCAGGATTAGTCTTGGAGTTAGATTTTTAAATTTTGAGTCATGATGACCTTTGAGTATAACACAATAGCTCATAAAGGGTGTCATAAATAAATTCAGGGGGCTGAACTTTCATTCCCTCAGAGAAGAATCCCACTGAAGAGAATAATGAATTGGAGCATGCAAAGTCTTTTCCCAGCAGTTTTAGTTGTGGTTTTTTTTTTTTTTTTTTTTAATGTAAGGGGTAATTGGTGGGTTTTGATTAAATTTGAATTTGAAAATAACCATTTTCTGGTTTTAGATATTCTTTGTCAAGGCATCAAAGCCAAAATATATATCATGAATACTTTCCTAAGATTAAAAAAAAAAAAATACTCAAATATTGGATTTCTCTTGAGAACCTGAATTAGATTCTAAGAGAATGCTCCTGGTTTCCTGGTTTTTACTGTTTCTGAGAGGTTTTTCTTGTAATTCAACAGATGCCACAGCTGGAGAAGAAGCTAGAAGAAGAACTTAAGTGTAATGCCAGAATCATTGCCTGTCGCTTCCCTTTCCCTTGCTGGATTCCAGATCATACTACTGGAGAGGGAATAGACACTGTGTGGGTCTACGATTTGAAAAGTTCTAGAGGATGTGAAACAAAAAGCTTGGAAATTACACCAGAGACACAATCATAAACATCAAATTTGTTCTCTTACAGAAGTTTTCAGCTTTGACTGGACTTGTTGAAGATAACATTAATGTGGAGAGAGCCCTGGCATATAAAGATGTGTATTCACTATAAGAACTGAAGTACAGTGGCTGTCTGAAAGCACACAAAGGTTACTGAAAGGGGTAGTTAAATGGCTTAATATGATGTCCTGATTTAAATCCATCCAGCAGTGGAGTACCACACAGATGTTCACTCACTGCAGTCCACAGATTCCCCCAGTATGATGGGAAAGAAAACTGAAAGAAAGGTCATACCCATGACCATGGATTGATATGGGACTAGTTTAATAATTTAAATAAATTAACTCATAATTAACAACAACAAAAGAGGAGTAAAACCCAAGAAAAATGAGTGCTGCATAATACCCTTGCTTACCACCCACTGATGGATGTCCACCCCATCCCAGAGCAGCGACCGGTCCCTCCTTGCCAACTCTTCCCAGTTTATATACTGGACATGATGTTCTGTAGTGTGGAATATCTCTTTGGTCAGTTCAGCTCAGCTGTCCTGGCCCTGCTTCTTGCACACCTTCTTGTTAGCAGAACATGAGAAAATAAAAAGTCCTTGGCTTGGACTAAGCACTGCTCAGTATCTAAAGTAACTAAAACCATTAGTGTATTATCAGTGTTAGTCTTTTCTAAATCCAAATGACAGTGTTGTACCAGCTAATAGGAAGAAAATCAACTCCCAGCTGAAAGCAGAATATGTTGTTAGTCAAAATTATGAAATATAGAAGAGGAAAACTTTAATATGGAAAAGGGTTTAGAACACCCTTCATTACAGTTAAGGGAATATATGTATAAATTCAAATGCTCAAATTTGTAAACTTAATATACACTAAAATGTGGGAGATGGATGGTGGGTGCTGCTGCCTAATATCTGTTCCCGACAAACCTCTCCTGTAGAAAGGCAAGTTGGGTAAACATTCAAGCAACACAGTCAGGTTCACACACCACACTCATCGCAGCTGGCTCAGCGAGAGAAGCAAGAAAGGCTCTTTTGGCAAGGTTTTATTCCAGAAAAGTCGTGAAACTGAAGGTAACCCAGCAAGAAAGAGGACAACCCCGTGGAGCAGGCAGCTTAAGAAAGGGAAGGGCTGGAGGGAGAAGCTAAGGGCTGGGCAGGGTGTGGCCACCAGGGGTATCCAACCAATGAAGGAACAGGGAAAGGAGAAACCAGGGGAAGTTTGTGTGAGTCTTGTCATTGCCCCCCAGGAGAGCTACTCTATGGTAGTCACTGGTGTCGCCAGGGCAGAGGGCTTGGGAATTGGCTGAGAGGAGAGTTCATGGGATCGATCCTACAATATACATTCTTTCTGACCCTCCAGAACATTTGGTATTGGTGTTGGAATGATGTGCAAGTGTCTTCTCAAATGAGCTGTATTTCCAAAATGTCTGAATTTTGTATGCCAAGTACATAGTGCTGCATACACAAAACTGGTCCAGATGGAATATGATGATGACACCAATGTTTCACACCACAGCCTTGAATGTGTACTTTTAAAAGTTGAGTATGACAAAATGGGCAAATATAATAAGTTGTTTGTTCATTAACACAAGTGCTGCCTCTGATTATATTAATGTTTTTTTTTAATTTGACTTGTGTTCTGTTTTAGCATCTGCTGGAAAATAAACTCCAAGAAGCCACTCCTCTTCTTTACCTCTTTCAGTAAGGGAGGGGCAAAAGCAGTAACTTAGGGGTTGAGATAGTGTTAGTGATAGAATCCTGGATGCTGAGAATTTTAAACTTTCTGTGCTGAAAGGCACAGACCCACAAGAGAGCACTGCATTTGACCTGAAGTCATGGAACAGGCTTTTCAAATTGATTAATAGCACTGGGATTTTGGGTGTGTAGTTGGTTAGAAGTCTATCACAGGGTGGAAAACTTAGAATTTGGGATTTTAGAATATAGAAATAAGTATGAAGCTAGATGGAGGTTTAAGAGCAGAGGCAGGTTGTTCTTCTTTGCCTTCTTCCTTCTTCATGGGTTTGGGTGATGCTTTGTGATTGGACAGAAAAGTCAGCATTGTGGACTTTGGGGGATCAGTTATTGGGTTAAAAGGGAAAATAATCTAGGTGTCCTTTCTTAATTGGATAGTTTAGTTTTAAAAGGCCTTGTAACAAGAGTTAGTCATTTTGTGCCTTGCTAATGAAAATCTGCCACACTCATGGTAGTGAGACTGTAGCATAGATAAGAAATAAGAAACACCTGAGTCTGAACATGAAATACCATCTTAAGTGCCTTCAATCCCGACCTCAAGAAATCGATAAGAGAGCAATTTACTGAAAGCACAAAGCAAGAATAAGACATAGCACAATAACAATAGCAATATTAATAGTAAAAGGATACAACAAGAAGGTATTTTAGTGACAAAAACGGGTGTTCACCACTGGGAACAGGAATGCTGTTGGGTGCTTCCAGTAGTTTGTGTCCTCAGACAAAGGCAGCATGATGGCTGGGCAGGCAAAATGGCCAACTCCCAGTGGAGCACCAGGGTTTTCCTTTGGAAACCATACCCTCCACTGATGGCATGTATGGTGCAGAATAACAACCTGGTCACGATGCTAAGCTCTGACCCCTTTCTTCAACCAGGACGACTTGTTACAGGAACACAAAACTGCAGGAGGATGCTTTTACTGAACTCTTACTGGTGTAGGCTGTTGCAGATGACCATAAATTTTCCTAATCTTTCTGATTTAGGAAAGGTTTCAAAAGTCATTTACTTCTCAGTAAAGTGCCACCATTTCTGTCTGCTCAAACATTGGATAAAGATACAGATGAGGGTTGTGCAGGCTTGAAGGCTGTCTCTGATTCCAGAGCTAGTTGTTGTATCTAGTTTGGCTAAATATAATTTAATTTAATTTAATTTATAGTGAGATGAGAAGGAAAGTTTTCAATCAGACTTGTTTTCCCTTGTATTTTTCCATACCATCTGATGAGATCTCATAAACTCATGGTGTCACTGTGTGGCTTTTCCTTGTAAGTGAAGCAAGTTCTCCTTGTCCTTTTGCTGGTACTGGTTTGCACTGGGGTACTGTCACTGTGTTGGTGTTTTCCTTTCCTACCACAATTACAACACTTTTCTGTTGTCTAATGGTCTGCTTACTCATTCTATTTATCTGGTTCTCAGGTAGAGTTTTACTGTTTTCACCCATTAGCAATTAGTCAAAGCTCATAGTTAGCCTCCCCTGGCCCCAGTTAGCATACAGCCTGTTTGTTAAGCAGTAATGCTCTAAGTTTGTCAGATCTTTGCATATACGTTACCCATGGAATGAAGCTTAAACAAGCTGGGCAATTGTCACCTGACTTCAAGGCAGTCATTGCCACAACTGAAATTAGCTCAGCCCAAGAGAAGTGCTGAGGCATTTGAGGTAAAAGCAAAGTCTGATATTTTATCAGGTGTTAGGAAAGGAAATTCATCTGGTCTGTAGAATCTGATTTGAAAAGAAGTTGAGTGCTATTTGGAATGTGTAGTCTACAATGATGTCTGTACCAATGCTAATTGATTTTGATGTGAGGGGACAGGAAGAAGTTAAAATATAAATCCACACTGAGGATTTGAAATGGAGCATGGTTTTGTCCTGAAAATGTACACAAAACAAAGGGCAAATGTGTCTGTAGTGTGCAAAGGAGATGTGATTTCAGCATTACATGGCAAGGCACACCTGTGAACATGGAGACTGTGTGTACTGAAGAACACTGTCTGGTAAGCAGTTTGACAGCCTTTCGCTGCAAGAATGCATAAACTATCTTATAAAATTGTACTAAATGCTTTATATAATGATTTAAGTGTTACAATCATTAGATGGAGATAGAGTGACAGGACAGGGATAGAGTGGTTTATGTAAAATGCCTGAATTTAATATTCCAAGGCCATAAAACTGGAGCCTCAGACAAATCTGAAATAATTTCTAACAAAAAGAGACTAACGAAGGGAAAATCAACTAATTCAGCAAAGTTCTTCCCTGAATTATCATAATGGAAAAGAGAAGGCAAAATATTTTGATCCATTGAATTGTGTGTGACTCCTCTGCAGTGCAGTGCTTTGACCCAGGTTTTTACAATCTGCATTCATTAAATTTAGTTTGTAGGAAATGAAGCACTTATTTACTCTTCTCCTGTGTTTGACTATATGTTTTTCTATTACATTGACCTTTGCCTGCCAAAAGGTAAAACTTGATTTCCCTTTTTTGCCTGTGGTAAAGGTTTTGGGATGTGCACTTCCTAGTTACCACCTATTGCTCCAGGAATACTTTTTCAGGAGGGAACAATATAATTAATGATATGATGACCTGAGCTTTGGGAGAACTAAGTACTGTCCTCCAGGTAAGGAGAGATTTATCATTGTTTCAAAGTAAAGCAGAGGGCTGTTTCTTGCTCTGGCTTTTGGGGGCCTAAACTGAATTAGGCAGTAGTCTGAAGGTTTGGGATTTCTTATGATATAAGGAAATGTGCTGTATTTCCTGTTTCTGTGGCTTAAGTATGAAATGGAAAGCAAAGTGTTCTAATTTTTTCCCAGAAGGACTAGGAAATAATTTTGTTGACATATTGTCCTTTTCTATTACTTGCTATTTTCATTTGATAGTTTTTGAGATTAAATACTTACCTGTGACTTCAGTTATCACTGTATGGATTATTATGTTGATACACTTCCTATTGCTAAGGTAATCTATTATGATTTTGTTGATATGATACTTCAGAATGAAAAATTGTTTCTTCTGAAAACCAGGAAAGAGAATTACCATCATAAAATTACAGTGTAGGTCTGAAGCTAAAAGGAGGAAACATTCAAGCTACACATGCTTTTCAATATCAAAGTAATTTAGATACACAGAAAAAACTATAGTTTATCTTCATTTGTATCTTCTAGTAGAATCACAACGCCTTTCAGGAGTTGTGTTATTTTTTCCTTGCCCTGACAGATTTTAACAAAAAAAGGTGTTACATTACTGAATACCTAGTGCTTTCCTGATATACTGTAGAATTTAATTTGTTTGTAAAACATAAAGGTCAGGGTCATACTTAAAAATGTGTTCTTTGTTCTTTCCCCCCTCTTTTTTTTTTTTTTTTTTTTTTTGCGAGACACAGTATGTCCATACAGGTTTTGTGATGCAAGATGAATTGAATAAATGCAGCATCTTAGAGCTGCAATTCTAATTTTGTTGTTTTCCATTTTGCAGAAATTTGCTTTGTAGAGAGAAGGAGGCAGGTATGGCTCATGGCAAGACAGCTGTGAGATAAGCAGCTTGCTCAGTGAACTGCAAAGTCACTACAGCCACACACTAAACCAAACTTGACCAGATTTGTTTGGGAAATGTACACTTATTTTGTGGGTTTTAGGCATTTCTATATCACTGGGCATAATGAAGTTTTTGATTTATCCTCTGGTCTGATTATATGCTGCTACTTAATCTAGTACTGCTCCAAGTAAGTTAATCCTCTGTCTCTGAGCTGCTGTTTGTTTCTGACTCATGAGTTGTAGCCAGGTAAGAATATACAGAATCTGGTTTCAAATTAAGTACAAGCCAGTTGAGTGAATGTGGTCTGTGGAAAAAGAGTTCCAAATCCCAGGCTTTGGGGAAGTCTTCCATCTTTCATGAAGGACACAACTCAGAAAGCAGCAGAGATCTCCTGAATTCTTCATAATTTAACAATGACTTGAGCTTTGCTTTTCTTACATGTGTATTCTTTAAGCAGTTTGACTGCTGTAATACCATTGCAAGATCTGTAGGAGAAGTAAGCAAAGGCAGCATTTTGGTTACCATTTGTATTTGGAGCTAAGGGAGGAAAGGAGAAAGGGAATTGCCTGAAGAAGGGCAATTGATTTGGGTCTATTTCAAAAGCATCATCCATGTGTACTTCTCACTGCATTGGAGAATCCATGCCACAACTGGACTGTGAGCATTCACTCAGAAATGGGCTCATGTCTGATGCCATTGCTCTTGGATGAACAGTAAGTATTGATAGGTGGCCTCATACTTCTGCAGTTTAATTTTCTGTGGTTTACAGTTACTGAAGCATCTATTCAAGAAAGGATGAGAGTCCTTCAAATTCATAGTTGAATTTTGGATTGGCCTGTGCGGGGCCAGGAGTTGGACTTCAACAATTCTTGTGGGTCTCTTCCAGTTTAGGATATTCAATGCTTCTGTGGTTGAAGTGGGTAGCCTAACGTCACATTTAACGCCAGTAAATTCTGCTGTGAGCGAATTATTTTTCTTTTACATTTGCCAAGATTGCAGTTCTGTAGTTTTAAAATGTAGCCCCAACTTGCTTTTCAGAAATAATATACATTTCTTTTAGAAGTTTTCTTGAATTCTTAGTAAGACAGCATGGCATCTATGTTTAACTTAAAAATCACCCTTGAGCAAGATTAATGAAAATGTTAATTCTGCAGCTTTTTTCTTTGCATGATAATATTTCTGTTAATCCTTGTACCTTTTACTGAGGGAGACATACATGGACAACCACCACTTTTCCACCATTCTTTTTCTGAAATCTCCCTCATATTTAAGTGTTTGCTTTGATTTTTCATATTCTCTTTTCACAATTTCACTGACTTCATAAATTAATCGGTCTTCAAATTTCTTTTACATGATTTTTTCCCCTGTAAATTAGTTTCCTTTCTTTTTTTTTTTTTTTTTTTTTT